CGCTGAATAATGCTTTCCAAACAGATTGTTCCTTTTAACTATAGATGAAACTCATCCGGGCAACTTGTTGCGAAGGACGACGAGAGATAACATCTGTCTATAACAACAACGACTGAAGGCTTAAAATATAGATGGCGAAACACTTAGCCAAAAGTGGTTGCGGACGACCTCGTTGTATAGCCATCCCGCGCAAAACCGGTTGCGCTCAACTCCGGACGAATTTCGACAACTTTATGCCCAAGAACAAAAGAAAACGCTTCAATGCACAAGCTGACTCCATACTTTCAACATTGGTGCCCTAGATTACCCACGAAACTTTTTGTTCTCGGGTATTTTGTCTAGCAGAACGGCCGGCGGTAAGACAAACAAGATCACCCACTGGACAGTGCTCGAGAATGAAAAGTGCAACATTTACAACAGTTATTTGCGACCGCACTACAGAGTATTCAGAACAGGTACCCACCCCTGCGCTGACCCTTGGTGATGATAACTTAGAAGTCATAAAATTTAAATATCTCGGCAACTATAATTAGCGCTTTTGCCAACGACACTTGTGGCACCAGCGCGACACTACTCTTACCCTGAAGGACAGAGTTTACAATGCAGCCGTTCCTTTCAACCCTCCTGTACGGTTGCCTAACCTAACCTATCAGTTCCACAGACATAAAGAGGCTTGTTACGTTTGGCGATCGCTGCTTTCACAGCTTAACTCATGTCCTGTAGGTGCACCGCAATGTTTGTGTTTGGTATCATGTATTTGGTACTGGAAGAGCGAATGAACAGCTCAGTGCCGTTGTTTCACGCACCAACCTCCGATGGCTGAGCGACGTGTTGCACATTGCAGCACACTGATTCCCGCAATGTGCCTTGTTTGCGTGCCGGGGTTGTCGATGGAAGAAGAGGATGAGACGCTAAGCGACGACTTGGTCATGAGAAATGCAAACCTTGATTTCGAAATTGGCGTCGGTTGGTGTCTCATCATTGCCGGTCTGGGGTCCGATTTCCTATTTGCCCGTCACTGCGGCCTCCATAGGGCGCCTGCGCTTACAGTGGGACCATGGGTGGCTTGCGCTGCACCACCCACATCTCCATCTGCACACACCCCGTATCCAGTGTGAACCTGAAGGAATAAGACCGTGGGGCATGTGGATGAGAGCCACGTTTCATCAACGGAGCCGGCTCACACTCCTTCAACTTACACAGCAGCAACATTCCTGTCTATCTAAATTGGGAATCATGCGTACCAGACGTTCACAAGACGATGGCTGGGCCGTAGACCGTTCCACACTGGATGCTTAGGACGATTCATTGAGCCTAGCATGGCCACGAGGACCGTACATCCCTTCCCCTGCAACAACGAATAACTGTCCCCTGCATTCAGTATAGGCGAGGTAGTGGTAAGCACCTTGACAACACTCACCTCAAGTGGAGCCACACCGGGGATACTTAACAACAGCCAGCACCTGAAATGCAATTGGCTCAACACGTAGGCACACGTACAGACCAGATGCAACGACGGTGCGGGACGCGTACCACACAGACCGCGTTATTGTCCCGGGTTCGTAAATTGAATCGAAAGCAGCTAACTTGCCAAACGCTGCGCTGATGATAACTACACATTTAGCATTTTCATCTTCTCTTGGATGTTCGCCCAACGTGGTGACCCTGGTGGCTTATCAAACTCACTTGGCTGAGGCACTCACGACCGCATGTGCTACAACACCATGCCCTCGACTTCGATGGGCTATCCACCATCAATGCCTGTCGCTTTCTCAACCGACCTTTCTTTTTCGCATGCAGTAGGGATTTCTCCTGCACCGCCCTCTCTTTATATGTTTTGGCTATTGGCGCCGATCTAGTGCCATAGACTCCCAGCACCTGAAATCAACATTAGTTCGTGATAAGCTCACCTTGATCATGTCCTGGTAACGTAACTGGACAATAATATCGATTTACTATACATACATTGGGGGAAAAATGGATTATCTGCACAACTGTCACTCCAGCAAGCGCTTTCGCAGTATGTTTATAACTTTCACTCGGTCAACAATCAAACGTGCTAGATACATTAAGACAGTATTACGATGCGATGATGTGCGGGGGAGAATAGCATTTTGCATTTCGAACGCATCGAAGCGAAAGAGGGCGTTTTTGAAAGAATACTGTGAAGCGGATTAAAACAATCATTTGGTACTTTAGAAGAATCATTATTTCAGGCATCAAGATGTTTCGAAATGATCAAGTCTACTAAAGAATTGCTAAACAAGCCGTTGCATTTAGAAGTGTGCTTTACTGCTCGTACCAATAATGTGCAGTCTTTATAAAGCAGTTTAGGAAAGATGACAGGTAAGCCGTATAGCCAATGGGCATAATGCATAAAGTCACAAACTTGTATAGTAAACTCCGGGATATTTAAAGCACCTTAAGAGTATAACATGTTTCACAGATATGCGTGGACGACCAGAGGTCTTGGAACAAAAAGTCGCCAAGATACATGACCGTCAGTGATCTGGGTATGGGATTTTTCTTCGTAGTATAAGGGTGGGGGAGATATGCTGGATTCCAATTTATCACAACGAAGAAAAGCAAGTATTGCATCACTGCATTTCGAAGCGCTAACTTTAAGAGATCCGGATGAAGACCACTCCAATGAATCACGAGTAATGCTGGTCCCCAGCAAAGCAAATATTCCAACTCCATTAACATGAGTCAAGGTCAGCAAGCATTTCAGAGTACATAATTCTTTTCGGTAAACTCTCTTCGGATCCAACTATTAACATATCACTACTTATGTGTGGCAGCGTCAAATCGGGCTGGGATTGATTTCTAAGCTGTTTGAACTGTCGAACTCGATAACTGGAAACAGGGCTATAGATGGTAAGCCAAGTGAACTAACGGAACATGTGTACACAAACCTCAGTAATTCGAAATAGATGGATAACAACCAAATCACTAAGTAACTGTGGCGGTTGGACACGCTAGTAGTATTGGCCGTGTGAAACGTTTTTGCATGCATACTGTATATTGCCCCATATAGGCCTGTCCATGGATAGTCCGAGAGTATAACTCTGTATCATCAAATTTGTCCAAAGTCGGATTAGCTGACCCCCTTCCCTCAAAATGTTATAGTGCTTGCATAGCAATCTAATAACCTTATGTCTGCACGCCATTTATCTGTGAATGAGAAGCAAGTGAGAGGACGGTGGAAGAACAAGTTATAATTGTCACTAGTGCCTGTAGGCCAGAAAACCACACTTAGTAGAAAAGCCTTTTCATGCAATGGAGAAAAAGTTGGCGCAGTGGAGTCATTGCACAACATACGACATTTTCATTTTGCGTACAACTTTTTAATAAGCAGATCTCCTCTACAGCAATGGAAAATCGTCCAAGAACCATCGGCTTGTATTCGGTAATATACGGTGATTCCGGTCGGAATTTGAGGACACATGGAAATCGCGATTAGGCGATTGAAACCGGCATTCGGCGTACAAAAAGCAGCTGTACGTACGCCTCAGGTCCAATGGACATTGGAGTGTCGCACATGTCCTCTATCCTTTCTATGTTTTCCTCGGTCAGTAGTAGTAGTTGTTGTTGTTGTAGCATACATTTTTCCTTCTATTTTATATTGACACTGGTGAGACTGTGCAAGATGTTAGCCTCTGCCAGCTTTCCTCTTCACACCGCGTCATGTAGTCTGCGAAAGCGACCTAACTGCTGCAACTTTCTCAAACAACGAATTCCCATCGACTTGGTTGTTTCACCCAACTGTGCACGGAACCGGATGCGCGAAAAGTTGTTGCCACTCGGTTAATTTGGCTGTTCGCGTGTCGCGAATGTCTGTCACGAGTGCACACTAGTGAACTAGCTAATTGACGTACAGACGGTATGTACCACCTTGATGCGAAGATTACATGGACCTCGCACTGCAGTTCGATGTTGACCCACTTAGAAGCATGAAGATCACAGATAGAACCGTGAGAGTTTTCTTAGCAACTAAGTCGCCATGCATGTTGTGATCGATCTCTTACGTAACAGACTGCTGTCACGCTATCGTGTGTGGGATGTTACATAATCTGTTTTCGTGTAACTTACGATGCATGTGATTTTGCGAATCACGCTTCAGCATTCACAGTGGATTTGTCGCTTTCTCACTTCACTAATACTCATATTTTTCGATGAGTTGACCTTTTTCAGCCACGTCGCCTCATTTTTTCGCATTTTGCAGAATCGGTCGAGATCCAAGCCTTGAGCTTCCAGTGATGATTTGTTGTCTGGGTTTTCCTGGTATGCCATGCCCCTTGCACATCTACGAACCCCGATACCGCAGTATGGTGCGGCGGGCGATGAATTCATGTTCCCGCCGATTTGGTCTCTTCATGCCTGGCCCTGGTCCCTGTGGACTCTCCGAGGTTGGTATCAATTCTTCTCCATGTCTGTGTGTATGTGTGCGTTGCCACTGATTTGTGATCTTTTGTCTGATGTGAGAAGTGGTGTGCCGAACCTCTGTTTTATCCTCATTCATTCGTACTGAGTGTTCCGGTGTCCACAGACCACACGCTCATTGCAATCTTTTGAAACGAAGCTTATTTGAAATCTAGAATTCGCTTTCCGATTACCATTTATGACGTGTCGTTTCATTACTTCTATTCCTTGTCGTCGTCGTCGTTTGTTTTCTGACGCTTGTTTTGATTACCAGAAGGTCCGATAACATTCCTTGTACTGTTGATTGGAGGATCATTTTGAAGTACTTGTTGTGTGAATGGATTGTGACGCACTATCTAAATGTGATCCGTGATTCACATTGAAGTGAACCTTGATCGTTGCAATAATCACTGGAGCTGTAACCGAAACAGATAGAGATTGATGGGTGACCGTCTGAAAACACTCCGCACCTTGAACTAATGTTATACGTCACGATCCGAGCGCCCAAAACCGGAAAATTTTCAATAATTGCCAACCGAGAAACTCCGCGGCTACGTGAGGTAGCCTGATCGCATTTCCGCTCATATGTTTACACTGATTTTACTTGTTCCAAGTGTAGACTTACCACATATTTCACTTTCATAGTTTGGTTACGTTTTCCCGTGTCCACATAACTTGGATTAAATCACGTAATGTAATCTACTTGTGTAATGCATCATCAGATAGAGTTTTGAATTTAGCTAACACAGGAGCGGAGATGACCGAATACCGAACTAAATTCCACGGCTATGATACACCAATGAAGAATTGTGCCCCGCCAGCATTCCATCCGGGGCCCTTAATTTGGCCGTTGCCGCTCTCCCCTGAAACATCGTTTTTTTCGCTATCTACTGCAAACTTATGAATTTTATTTGAATCTTTTAACGAATTCTTTGGATGGACAATTTCAAGGTCACTGCGGTCGCTCAAGTGTACTGATTCTTTGAAAAGCATCTGAGACACCGCGCAAAATTTACACTTTGCTACTTTTATCCATTTGAAACAAACTATCAAAAAACATTTTAACAAATATTGGCTTCGTCAACTGGAAGAAGAATCTTATAACTTATTCATTCAATGTGCGGTCGTTGCTCAAAGATTCGGGACTTTTTACTTACATGACATCTGTGTACACTTTACCCATTCTGTTTTTAAAATTGTAAAATTCTCCTTTTTACTGATGATGTTTGTATCACATTTGTGGTACGTAGTGTAAAATGCTGAAAATCTGGGTGCGTAAAACTTTTCTTGACTTGACTGGACTACACTGTTTCGCCAGCTTCAAGTGGTCGCCTTTCAGTGAGTTGCTCTGACTGCGTTTCAGTAAGGTTTCGCACGGGTGATTAGGATCCTTGAGGATACACATTTCGCAGAAGGCGATATTGTTCACTGAATCTCCCCGGGTCTTTAGTCTAAACTGGTAATGATGGTGGAATAATCCCATTAAATTTTTCTCGCCCTCCTTTACGAATTCCCAAGAGCAGCGAGGTCATGTTTTTACCAATGGTGCCACACCTAGATGGCATATTCTACCACTTACGCGTTTAGTATTTAAGTAAAAAGTTTGGAACAAATGAGTCAAACGCCGTCCGCAATGTGCCCAAGTGTTGGCTAGCTTTTTTCACTACTTTCTCAGGCTGCCTTGCGCATCCAAGATTATCCTACAACAGCTCTTCAAGATCATTGTCTTGAAAAGCACGCTACAGAACGTATTCTTTTAGTCGCTATTCGTAGATGCTCTGGTAGCGAATACTCATTCGTTTAAACTTGACAGCGTTAAACTCAAACAACTTCTGAGCCGGTTACTCGTAAGCCCTGTTAAGGTCACCCTGCAGTGCTTTGTATTCGTTTACTGTCCTGATTGTCCGCCAAATCTCGACATCGTCCGCAATGAGTGGAACGTTTGACGTCAACACTTTTCGTGAGTCGTTCAAGAACACTAGGAACTACCATGATCCTAGTATCGAGCCTTGATGAACATCACAATGAACCTCTATCAGGTCGGACCAGGCGCTGCGAACTCACACATTCAAGTGGTGTTGAAGTAGGAATGCATGTATCCAGACCAAGATATGCTCACCGATCCCATCGTTCTGAATCTCGTTAGAAAGAATCCGGTGACTTAAATGATCCACATTCTTTGCGAAATCAAGGTAGACGGCATCGACTCTTTCCTCAACAATGACAGATTCCGTCCAGATGGCGTGGGCTAGCAAAGGGTTCGGGGTGCATTAGCGGTTCCGCTGGAATTCATGTTGCTTTTTCACCACGATATTGAACCTACAGCAAACATTGCGCACCTCCACACCATTCTCAGAAACCGGGGCACCAACAATGGATCATCAACATATATTGTTGGTTCTTCGCCTCCACACATTCTAGATTCTAATATGAACAAAGATGAGTAGAATCAGTTTCGGGTATGGGCTATACTATTTGCCTACTCCAAGCTCGTCTTTACCGTTCTGTAACGGTTGCCAACCTCAGTTTTATTCTTTCTTGTCGTTACGGTTTTGTTTTCATTTGCTTTATCATTTGGATCTGCCACAAAATATTGTCTTATTATTTCCAAGAATTGATTTTCTCTTTTGTGTTCACAATCTTTTTCCGAGCACCTTGATGCGATGCATTCAGTTGGTTAACGATTTGGTTCCCCTAATTGTTGCTATTTGATTTCTTCCACCAACTGTGCACGAATATTCTCCACCTTTACAGCTTGTCATTTTGTTAATGTTCTTTCAACACTGGGACTAATCTCTTCTGCCTATACCTTAGTTTTGTTCACAATAAAAATTGCATTCTTTTCCAGCCGTCTGCACTTTGTTACATTCAAAACCCAATCTGACTTATTGCTTGCGTCACATTAGCTATCATGAGATTCAAGCCAACCAGTGGATCTCATGTGAAGATGCACATCCTGCTCTGTTTGTAACCAACTGCAGGGAATTTATTTGTTTATTTGATTCATACATTGTTTAACTTTTTAGGTTGGAGTTGTGTTGCACATTCAGAACTGTGATCCCCTGCCAGACGGCAGGATGCTCATCGGTACTCGTGGCGACGCACGTGTGCGCGTCTTGACTGCACGAATTGTTGAGGGATGCGTGACCATACGTTTTGAGTTCCACACCGACTCACCTGTACATCCGGAGTCACTGGAAGGTAAGTGAGAACTGCTTTTATCACGCATTCCCCCTTGCTTTCTTGTTCCAAACATTGTATTCATCTCGCAGAATTTCCGCATAAGATGTGGCCCATGAATTTTCACGGAAGTTTGCCTAAGTATGTGAGCGTGTGTTCTAATTTCACCACAAACCACATCCGGCTGCGATCATTGCGAATGTTGACAATGCCATGTGTCTACTCTCCCCATAACACCATCTCGATTGCCGGCCAAAGAAAGTTGCTGGTTGACCTGATGATCTTCATAGCTTTTGCGACACTGTTCTGCTCGGAGTTGTTCCACGATACAATTTCCCTGAACTCAACCTTCACCATGGATGCTTCCAGCATTCATTCGCCATGAACGCCATGTTGTTGATGGTTGTGTTTAAGAGATATGGTCCCGCTCCCATTTAATCCAGGCTTTTGCCCACATTCCTACCCATCTTATTTTTTGAGTTTACTTTGTATCTGTAGTGTGCGAACGGAGGTTTGGATGTTTCATCGCAAATCATCAATAGCCCCTCTGGGCACAGGCGGACGATGGCCGTTCGCCAACACAGTAGCAGGCAGAATTATTAACGGATGCTTTGAACAACTTCTGTTCATCTACCTTACTCTTTAGCCTGAGGGAAATCGTAATCATGAATAAAGTTCGATACTTAGCATTCGTTGTCCTACTACGCAGAGATTTCGTGCCGTGCTTATTGTCCCTAGACTGAGACTACTGAAAATGGTATGTCAAAAACAGTAATCTGTTTTGATCCGATGATGCGATTCATTTCATTGTTGCCACCTCGACAAGTAACCAATTTATGCTTATCAGGAAACGACACGAAACTCGCCTGCCGTTAATTGTTTCAACGAAATATCTAGCTCCAGACCAAATGTGCCCGTCCTTTCCACCGTCTCATTTCTCTTCCTTTAATGTTATATTCTTAATGGATTTGGTTCTCACTCATTTGTTGTTACCATGATTCGAGCCGAGAAGTGGTCGCTTTCCCCATTCTCAGAGGATTTGGTCCACTGTGCAAAACGAATGCCTTCCGGTTACTCACGAAACTCCAAGGTACTTCATTTTCTAGACCTTAATATGCGTATCTGACTTGGCGCCCAATTCGGTGATCTCACCTAATCACCAGCAACCAATCTAACAAAATTCGTTGTTTCTTGTGCGACAGTCACTCTTACTTTCGTGGTTGTTTTCTACCGGCTCTACCTCAGCGCTTCCATAACCCAGACGTCGGTGGCATCTATGGTCAGCTGTTAGTGCGTCGATCGGGCTTTCTGCTCGTGTGACGCAATCGATAACCCCGTTATCATTCTCATCCTCATGGACATCTTTCGCGAGAAATTACTCCCTTTAAACTCCATCCGTATGATCATTGATCGACTTCCTCAGCGTTCATTATGCGCCCTTGGTTGCACCAATTTGGGTTAAACCGCAGGGTGGCCAGTCCATACCATGGCACAAGAAATTGAAGAAATTGACTGAGAAACCTGATCAGACTGCCGCATGCCGTCTTCTTAGATCATGGCGTCGGAATGGGCCATACCAATGACTGGAGATCCTCTGGGACTTGGCACATTCGTATAATCAGTGACACTCCTGGATTCGGTTTCTTACATTTAGCTGTCAATATTCCTTCCACCCCGATTAGTTTTATGCACTTCTTTCTTGTGTTCATTTTCTTTGTATCCTATTTACGTTCAACCTCATCTTACAGCTGTTATTTATTATTATTTAAAAATATCAACAGTACGCCGGTACGCAGTACCGACGCTTCGCTGTCGCGCAACCACCATCAGTCGCACGTGAGCTAAGGATACTGCGAGGCTCGAGCCGGTGCTCTCGGATTATAGGGCAGGTTTATGATCGTTGCGGTTACTGGCCGGATTGTTATTCTAGCGATATAAGTCGTGGCATCTGGATCCACTCCTCTTCGGTGCTCAGCTCATAGTTGTTCATCGGAATTGAACGGAACTTCGTGATTCGTCATGAATGTGTTGATTGTGAACGCACACGCACACCGCGCAATCCGTTGTAAAAGCATACATCACTGGCCACTCGCCTCTGCAGCAGCTTCTGACCCGTTTGCCACATTTCCTACCATCCGGTTGGAACTTATTGATATTTTACCTAGATATTAAGAGCACAGCGTGAATGTCCCCGAATCTTGTGGATTTATGAGTATCTGGTTAGACAGCTTCCCCTAAACTAGAGCGCATGCGTCCCGCTCGTTATTTGAACATGTAGCTGATTTCGTGTAAAGTGCTAGTCAGAAACAGCCCACTCGTCATTACACACTGGTACTCGTAGTTAGTCTTCACGTTAACTTATTGGGTTAGGTTGTACATTTTGGCAAGGGCCGATTCTACTAATTTCTCCTGTTTGCTCCAGTGATTCTTCTCCTTATTGTACCGCACCGTGCATTGTTCCTGATTGATGCAACTGAGGCGAATCGGATGCGCTGCTCTAACTGTTACCGAAGACGATTCACGCGTGCCATGTGAGACTTGTCTGTGTTTCATTGCACTTCCAAGCGGTTTTCCACCTTATCATGATGTTCACTGCGATACAAATAAGCGCCCCACTGAAATGGACATACAGCTGCGTCTGCTCAAATCGAAAAGATCATTCCTTATCCGTCTAGGACACAGGCAACAAAGCGTTGCATGTCCCAATGTGTATGTAAACTTATCTGCAGTTGTGGAAACGACTATGTTTGACACTGACCAAAGTTTGGGGGTCGAAATCGATGAGCGAATTCCCAAGGCTTGACGCAGCCGACTGGAGTCTATGACGAGGGAATCGGGTGAAACGAGGAGCCGAACTACCTCACCAATCACAAGATGTTTGCTGACCACCGGATACCTAGTCAGTCCCGATAAACCATCTACCGTCCTTATGCGCAATCAGAAGCCCCACATCCTCAGGAAACTAGACGTCATCGTTAGTGATCGAGAACGACCACAGTTCCGGGTTCAAAAGCAACTGAATGTAACTCTGAATCTACCGTGGTAGCGTGAAGCGCACTGATTGACAACCAGCATATTTTGTATTTTTTTCTGCGCTCTCTATCGTTAATTGCATAGTTGTGATTGGTGAGCTTGCACGAAATAACCTAGTCATCTCACAAATTGCGTCTATTGTTTTTTGCCTGAATTTCTGAATTATCCGCATAGTAACTGTTTCTTCTTTCTTGTTATTCTCTTTGCCTTCACATCCTCTTTCAACTCGTTTACAGCCTATCGGGCGTTGAGTTCGTCGGTACACTCAATGGCAGCTGACTGGCTTGCAACTGTTCCTTGCAATACTCGAGCCTCACTTGTGCCCTTCTTCGGCGGTCTACCAGCATTCGACCAAAAGACCAACGAACCGGGCGAGTTTGCCGCTCCAGCTTGGGTTTGGTGGCTAGTAGCCGTACTGCCCTTGAACAACCAGTGTCGATACAAGCTGCTTGCCTGCCGTTCTCCCGAAATGCGCATGCGGTCGTTGCAAAATCTACTCACACGGCTCGCTTCTGAACCGATCCACTGCGGAGGGGACTCTTCTCGAGTACTTTCCTGTTGATGTTCATCCCGTACTTGCACAAACGTGTCCTCATTGATAATTCTCTCATCCACTTCCTTATCGCACTTTCACCAAACCCGCTGAATAACTGGGTACACATCTTGTAGATAATTTCCCCCGAGAACCTAGTACCGTTTCGAGTGCATTACACCAGTTGTACGCCTTATCCCTACTGCTTATCTCCCTGTACTCTATATTCGCTGTTCACATTTTTGAATGCTTTTTCATCTCATCTTATCGGCAAGTAGCCCAAAAGATCACACGCCTGTGTTTTTAATGCGGAGAGTTTGGAGCTGTGTAGGGGACCGGGCCACCGTCGCCTTATCCTTAACCCACACACGACTGTTCATGGTTGCGCGTCGGTATTGCGTACCGGCGTACTGCTGACACCTTCTTCTTCATCATCTCATCTTGCTTGCACCGCACTTCTTGCGGACACACGCACACACATGTAACAACCGAACGGAGACCACACCGCAGCTAGCATTAGTCTGTATCTGAGGTTACTGCTTGGGCTCTCGGTATCACATGTCTCACGAGTACTGTGTGCGAATATTGTTTCTGTCCTCTAATCCATTTCTCTCCCATACACTCGATACCACTGGAAACCGATTACTGTTGTCTATTCTGAGCACTTCTCCACACAACCGGTGCCATGCTTGTGTGTGTGCTCTTCAGCAGAAGATAACCGTTTCCCCATTCGACACTCGGTATGTGTCTACCTCTGCCGGAAGACTACAAACATGCCTGCATTCGGTCGTAAAGCTAGCAGCACCTCATATTTGTGTTTTATTTGGTCTGAAATACCCATTTCAGTTATCAGCTTTGAAAAAAGACGCAGGCAGTACGCGTAAAGCAATCGTATTCGATTTCTTCATTAGCAGGTCTACTACATAAATATACTGTAATCCGTAGGGCAGTACCGAAGTAAACCATTGATTAGACAAACTCAAACAGCTCTCGTGCTGTGCGCTGGATAATCAGGTGATACAAGGCACGTGATATTGTCGGACCAGGTCTGCTTCTACTGTTGTATCTGTTAGCCAAGAAAGTTGCAACGCGTGAGCGGGCTCCTTTTGGATGCGGAGACAGCCTTGTCAATCTTACACTTACCGCTTCAGTGATACTTAGTGTCCTTGCTGTTAGTTGATGGTTTAAGTGGGATGGCACCGTATATAGAGTTTTGAAGGCACTTCGCTTGTCAGCATGATGCTCTGTAATGATCCGGTGGTTAGTTATAGCATTCAGATTAGTTCTAACGTTTCGTTGGATGGGCAACTTCGGTAGATGTTCCTTGATTCGCTTTTCCAAATGCCTGGTCATGCGTCCAATATACCTAAGTCCACAGGAGCAGATGAACCATTAGATCACCATTACTTGGAGTTGATCATACACTTTGTCTTTGAATGTATTGATAACTAGCGCTTCGCCCGCACAAGTCATGTTGAGATGAGCTGCGTTCATTGTATTTCTACGGGATTGCACCAATCTTCGCGTACATATCTTAACTGCTTTGTCACCCTTTAAGGGGACGTTGGGAAACATCTGTTTGTTCTCAGCGATTTGTAGTGTGCTCCTCGAGTCGTTGGACTTCATAGGAATATCAGTGAAGCGCTCTGGATAACCATTTTCATGAAGTATGTTCTTGGTTCGCCTCAGTCTATTTACACTTGTGTCTTCGCTGCAGATCTTAGGTGCACGTTTACTCAATGTATACCTCATCGATTGAGTGGTTCGAAACCCTGAAAGTGTGTGTACTGTTCCGTCCAGTACGGCTTACAGTACAGTGCTAATTGGGTTGATCCATCTACCCTCCTCTTTAGATCTACATCCCATAAACTCAGACAGTTGTTGCTTTCTTCTACTCTGAATAAAGCCTTTGGATGTGGGTTATCGAAACATTTGACTACATTTTGCAATGTGGTTGCCCAGTCTGCTATGCCGAAAATATCGTCTACGTAGCGTCGGTAGAACCTGAAAGTGGAAATAACCGGTTTCAACGGGCCATCCTCAAACATACGCATGTAGACGTCTGTCAAAATTGGCCCCAGAGGAAATCCCCGTTGCCACTCTGTTTACTTGTTTACACAAGGTTCCTCGTTGAACTGAAATTGCACTTTGTACGTACACTTGAGCAGCAGTTGCTTCAACGAGGCAGTTGGTATCTCCGTGCGTATCCTGTGTTGGTCAATGTAATCATAAAGTTGTCTGTTACTACCAGTTGGACATTGGTGAACAGGGGTACCACGTCTAATGATACCATTCGACAGTCTTTAACACTGTCGACAAGCTATGTAGCTTGTGAACCATTGGGATGAAAGCGTTATCAGAATTACAACTAAAATCCTGCTACTTGTGTGTAATATAAAATACAAATACCCTCTCCTAGTTCCAAATACTATGGAAATAGCGTCTAGTGAGGACGTCATCACCTAGCATGCTAATCACTGTCAGCGACAGTGTTGGATAGGTGGTGCTATATCCTAGTTAGTTTGCAAATTACGTATCCCAGCCGACATCCCCCATGGCTCAGTGACTTAAGCTGCTGGCTAGTTGGCATCTGCCTCTAGCGGTCATGGGTTCGATCCTCCTTAGAGGACCGAGGGAATGCGCGCCACTGACGAGCCCTAATAGGGCGAAAGGCGTCTGGCGCTTTTCCGGACTAAGCTGTGCTATGTAGCTTGTGAACTATTGGGATGAAAGCCTTATCAAAATTGAAAGGTGTCGGTCAGCTATTGAGGGACAGTTCTTTTCCTGATAAGGTTCAATATAGATACTAACCGCTTTGCGATATGACACGGTTTATGTATTTTGGGAGACTATACATCCGTGGAATAATAGACCCGATTAGCCTGAGCTTTTCTTTGATCATCTAAGCATCATTCTCATCATCATTACACACGTTAGCTAGAGGCATAAAACACCTCAGCCACTGGGCCGCAATACCTAAAAGAAAAAAAAAGAAAATAACTGCAACAGTTGCATTCCAACTGAGCTACCATCAACGGATAGGCATGGTTCCGGTAACCTACCAGCCGGCTACTGGGCAAGAAGAAAACTTATTATGTTTTACACTACGAAATGAGATCGTAAGTGGAGGAGGGGGGCTAAAACGGATGGGGAGGGTCAAAGAAACTCACAGCACGAACGCCACTGAAGTCGGCTTCTTGCCATGTCAGCAAGTGTATCTAGCCAAACGTGTTCGTCGTCTTTTGGACCCCAGTCAGGGAGCCGTGTCGCTCCAACTGAGGCCACCTTCGAATTGACAACTTTCATTCCTCTCGACCAAGTCATCGCTTGGCCACTTCTCCTCTTCTTCCATCCACACCCCCCGCCCCGACGAACAAACAACGCACGTCGCCAGAGCCAGTGGGCTGACATGCGTAACACATGGCCGAGCTATCGGAGCCGGGTACGGGAAATGACGATGCTGAGCGGTTCAGACCCTTTTCCTGGGCCGTAACCAAGGCGTCGAGCAAGCTTGTTGCTCACGCAGTGTTCCCACCAGATGTGAGCCAAACTGCGAAGGCACCGATGGTCGAACGTAACTAGCCTCTTTATGTCCACCGACCCAAGGGGCTAGGTTTCACAACCGTACAGTAGGGTCGAACGTACCGCTGCATTGTACACTCTATCCTTCAGGGCGAGAGTCATGTCGCGCCGCCGCCATAAATGGCGAAGGCTAACAAAAACACCTCGAGCTTATGCTTTACGGTTCATGATCTCATCTTCGATCGCAAAGGCGCTGATACAACTTCCCAGGTAGTTGAGTTTCTGAACGACTTCTAGCTGACCCCCACCAAGGGTTAGCACAGGAGGTGATCCCTGCCAATCTTAGAGGAAATCTTTGCACTTCGATGGTGCAAAGCAAAGCCCGAAGCGGCTGACAGCCAATGCTGATCTGCGCAGTGCAGCTTGGCACGTTTGGGAACTGTCACTGATGAGATCGATATCATCTGCATACTCCAAGTCAAGAATTCGTTCTCCTGGGATCAGGTCCACACCTTCTAAGTCGTGTTCTGTGAACGCGATTTCCATTACTTCGTCAATAGCGAAGTTGAAGAGGAAAGGTGACAGCGGGCATCCTTGTCTCACACCGCTGGAGATATTGAAGGGCGTCGACAGTTTGCCGTAAGCCCTCACTCTGCCCGTGCTGCGCACGTCTAATGCTCGGATAATATTTACCTATTTCTCGGGCACACCTTCCCTAAATAGACAGTCCCAAACGGCACATCGATCAACCGAATCGAAGGCATCTTTGATATCGAGGAACACGACTACGGTAAGCTGCCAATATGTGTGACGGTGCTCCAACAATTGTCGCAAAGTGAAGATGTGGTCGATGCAGTCAAGACCCCACTGGCTCCTCACGAATCTGGCTTTCGCGAGCGCCAGTCAGTCTGTGAAGAATTATAGAGGCAAGTAATTTGGAGGCGATGGGGATCAGACTGATTACTCTATGGTTGCAGCATTCCGAACGCGAACCTTCTTCGAAGATGGGAACAATACCGGAGCAGCTCCAGTCGGTTGCGACAGTTTCCTGCCCCCACAGTTTCACCATTAATTCGTGTAAATCATCGGCAAGAGCGGGGCCCCCGAATTTGAAGAGGGCTGGATGAAGATCATCTGGTCCCGCGACTTTGTTCAACTTCAACAGTCCGCTCTAACGTTCCACTTCCGAGCGCGAGGGCGGATCCAAAGGGACACCCCATGGAGCAGGGCGATCACTGGCCGGTGAGCGATCGAACTATTCCGGTCGATTAAATTGTTTTTCACAATAGTCAGCCCAACACTCCAAAGGTTTTGACAAATTGTGGCTAGACTGTCCACTCTCGTCATAAATTGTTTCACTAACACTAGGTCTCCTGCTGCCCGTTTCCCGTATCAGACGGAATCACTTTCGATGGTTACCAAGGGCAGCGGCCACTTCCATCTCTGACGCACGAATAGACCACCAGGATTCGCGGTCTTTCTTCAGCCTAGCACAGAGTTTAGCCCGGATCTCTTTGCGAATTTCACTGTGTTCGCATCCAGCCGGAATATGCCGGCGAGCATCGATAAGTTCCAGAGACCACGAAGAGACCCAGTGTCTATTTTGGCCAGTGAATTTACCATATGAGGATTTGCCTGCTGCTATTAAGTTCTGGTGAACATGAGATCAGTGACGTTCAACTGTCTCCAATGATCGCTTACTCAACCCGCAGGCCAGCGTATTTCGATACGCATTCAGAACAGCTGGCTTCGCCAGTTGACTGTCGTCAATGCGCTCACAGTGTGGTCGTGGACTTCCGCCAAAACGCACCTGCGTGTCAGCACATACAAGTGCATGCTCGGTGTGCACACATGTGCTCCAAATCGAGCGACAGTTTTGGACACAGCCTCTCCCTCGGTAACTGATTGCAACATGAACGATTTTCGTCCAAGGCTGGTTCGAGGCTTTTGGGCGCCAATTCAGAAGTTAGTGCTCGCAAGAAATAAGCGGGCATCTTCACACAAATGGAGTAACCGCTCACCGTTATCAATTCGGTAGCCTACACCATGTTCGGCGCCCAGATACAGTTCATCAAGTGACAACTTTCCAACTTGTGCGTTCAGATCCCCAGCG